GCCTCTGCCTTCGGCTCAGGTCATGGTCCCGGGGTCCTGGGATCGAGCCCTGCGTCGGGCTCTCTGCTCAGCAGGGAGCCTGCTTCCCCTCCTCTCTCTCTGCCTGCCTCTCTGTCTACTTGTGAGCTCTCTCTCTGTCAAATAAATAAATAAAATCTTTTAAAAAAAAATCAGTATGTCCCATTCAGTAACTAAAACTTTAATTCTTTTTCAGTCACTCCCTACCCTCATCCAGACCTTTGTCGGGAAGGGTTCCACACAAGAAGGACAAAAGTATTTTTGAAGGAAAAAAAAAAATTTTAAGTGACTTATCTAGAAAGACTCCTTAGGTTCAGCAAATAGGGCAAAATCCTGCTTTTTCAAAAATGTTCAGAATGGGTTTCTATAACTCTCTACCCCTTCCACCCTGACCACGGATCTAGTGAGGCCCCTGGAAAAGATAATGTCTTTCAGGGGGACAGCTGCACTTAGCAGATGGCCCCACTAAGGTGTGTTTACCAAGAGAAAGAGAGGAAGGAGAGTCAGACTATCTGTCCACCGATGGAAACTGCAGCTAAAGGAAAAGTCAAATGCAACAATCCACAGTCATGGGACATCCCCTGTCCATTAGGAGTAGTGGGGGGAGGGTCACAGTCCTTGTGATATGCCCTTGCCCAACCCTGCTGTTTTGGGCAGGAATCACAGTTCGGAAGGCAATGAGTCTGCACCAGAAACAGCCTATCAGCAGCTGGGTTTTAACTTGTGCCATCAAACTTTTCGGGGTGCCTGGGTGGCTCAGTGGGTTAAAGCCCCTGCCTTTGGCTTAGGTCCTAATCCCAGGGTATTGGGATGGAGCTCTACATGGGGCTCTCTGCTCAGTGGGGAGCCTGCTTCCCCCTCTCTCTCTCTGGCTGCTTGTGATCTCTGTCAAGTAAATAAATAAATAATTTAAAAAAAGAAAGAAAGAAAGAAAGAAAGCCTTTCATCATAGACACCTGCAACAACCAGACAGTCTAGCAGCATCCGTAATGTTTTCACAGTGTCTGCCACACAGGGGCGGCCCAACTCCTCAGGTGCAGTGATTTTACCTGATTTTAGCTCCACGCAGCTTGCAATGGGGCTGAAACAGCAGCAAGTTTCAGCTTGGAGGCAGAGCCAGGCATCTGGGATCTGTGAATGCGGGATTCCAAAAGTCAGTGGACAAAAGGTAACCGTGTAAGACGGTGGATACACTCGTTAGCTTGACTGTGGCAAACCTTGCACCGTGCCTATACTGTTTATCAAAACATCAAATTGTATACCTTGATTATCATCAAGGCAATTTTTGTTAGACCTCCCTAAAGCAGAGTGGGGAAAGGCTCTGGCTTTTCTTCTGTTGCAGCCAAGTGACACAGCTTTCCTAACTCTTTCTGTCATGTTGGTCTTAGAGCCCAAGTGGATGTCCTCAAAACTATGTCTCTAATGGTCACACAGGCAATTTCACGAGAGCTCATTAGCAACAAAACAAACTGCTTTTTCAAGCCTCAAAGGTGTATCTCCATTTGGAGACTGTTTCTCCTTCTCAGTTGTCTTCCCCCCTCCCCCAACCCCAGAAGCTCCAAAAGGTAAAAATCATGGTAAGAATCTAGTTACAGAAGATTGCTCTGGTTTCAATACTCAAAAGATTTCAGGGGCGCCTGGGTGGCTCAGTGGGTTAAAGCCTCTGCCTTCAGCTAAGGTCATGATCTCAGGGTCCTGGGATGGAGCCCCATATAGGGCTCTCTGCTCATCAGGGAGCCTGCCCCTTCTCTCTCTGTCTGCTTATGATCTCTGTCTGTCAAATAAATAAATAAAATCTTTAAAAAAAAAAAAAAAGAAAAGATTGCAAAATCCAAGAAAGTTACATCCCAGTGACTTGTTTTTCCTTTTTTCTTTCTTTCTTTCCTTTTTTTTTTTTTTTTTTTTTTTTGCAACTCTCTCTGATGGGGACGATCCCTCTGGCACTTATGAAATTATAGGCATATGACATCTTACATCAATGTTAACCATACATCTAAATACCATAGCTATGAAATACAAAGGAATTTTAAAAATTCTTTCTCCTTTAATTTCATTGCAGATGAGAGTCCTGAAATCCGAGTTTCTCAGGACCAGCCAAGGCTTCACACCTTACAAGCAGGCCTTTCCGTGAATGGCAGCCTGGAGCCTGCCAGGTTCCCTCCTCTCTGCATACCAGGGCCCAGTGGAGGATGGGTCTTAAGGGCCCCTCTGAAGAGAAGGCACCAGGAGCAAGGTCTCCAGGACCCACCCAGCTCCCAGCTCAGGTTGGACAGAAGGTGGCAACTTGGGAGCAAAGAGAAGAGACAGCCACCCTGGGCCACCGCTGACCTGTTATCCTACCCGGCCCAGCCTGAGAAGGAGAATTAGGAGGGAACACGGGGGCTCCCTCCCCGGTTTCTGGCGGCCACTGGAAGAGGAACCTAGCAGTGTATCCACAGAGTGACTGAGATCCACAGTGTTTCTGGAAGCAAAGTCCAGGGGTAGGACAGAGACACCAGCCCAGGCCAGCTGTGCCACTCACCTGCCTTCAGCACTCTGAGGCTGCTGATAATCTGCTCCCTGGTTTTGGTAAACATTGACTGTGTGCCTAGGACACCAGCTAGGCCAGGCTGCAGGAGCGGGGGCTCGACTTGGCCACTGTGAACAAAGGGACTGGATGTTCACCTGGGAGGCTGAGAGGGCTGCATCAAGCAGCCTCCTCTTGTGGAACATTCTGACCTGTGAGCTCTGTTCTGGGCTACCTCCATGCCATTTTCTCAGTTGGAAACTTAGACCTGGGGGATGAGGAGGACACTGAGGGAAGCCTGGCGAGACACCCCCAGGAGGGGCAGAATAAGGAGGTGGAAATAGCTGGCCAGCCTCCAGACCTGCCCAGAAAACAGAGGAGAGAAGCTGTGGGAAGTTGTCTGGACTGGTGGAAAGAGATTCAACTTCAGAAGCGAACAGGCCAGGGTTTGGGTCTCTCTTCTTCCCAGATCTGCAATCTTGCAGACCTACGTTCGCCTCTCCGGGGCTTCAGTTTCCCCATCTGTCTGGTGGGAATATCAACATCTCCGATGTGTACAGGAGGCAGTTCGGCCGTTAGAAGGGTGGTCTTGGAGTCAGAATAACCTGGTTCACGTTCCAGCTCTACTATGTCTCTTGCTAATTGCATGGCCTGGGAAAGTTCTTGAAGCATCCTGGGTCCCGTCTCCAAGGTCGAGGGCTAAGCTGACCAGGGGCAGAGCTCAGCCTCAGACCTGCTGAACCTCAGACCTGCTGCTGGGGAGAGCCCACGGGCTTCCTGGGGGTGACGGCAACTTGAGAGTCGCTCAGGGGGCCTGGTGGGGTTTGCCAAGGAAGGCGGGAGGTGGTGGGGGGGTCACCCCTGGCACAAGCCCCTCTCTGTTCCCTGGTGGGAAGGCTAAGGCATGGGAGGGAAGAAAGAAGGAAGGAGAAGAGTGGCCTCAGGCACTTTCTTGCTGCTTGTTACTTTCTCTCATCTGAAATATGGCAATGTTGGACCCACTGATCCTTAAAGTCATTACTAGACATGCTGATCTGTTTTTCTGTATTTAATAAAAAAAAAAAAAGAAAAAGAAAAACAAGAGCTGGTGCAGGACATTTTGGGAACCCAAGTGATGCAAGAGGGCAGGGGGTCATAACACAGTCATGGGCCAAGACTGAAAGCATCAGGGACTGGAAAAAGTTTCCAGGCAATGACGATAGTTGAAAGTCAGTTTCCTGGAAAGAGGGCAAGATGGCTCAGCAGCAGAGTTTCTGGGGATTGGGGTAGAGCAAGCAGCAGGGGGCTGTCCTGGAACCCTCAGGTGAATGCCATGGCTGGCCAGCAGTCCATCAGCATTCTATCTTTTAGGAATGTGAGACCTAGGGACTCGGGTGTGGCTTTGCTGGGAGAGCAAATTCCCCCCAGAGCCATTTGCTCTCCCTTCCACCACTCTGCAGATACTGAGAACCTGGGGCAGGGGGCAGGGCCATAACCTCTTTGCCATTACTCAGGCTGTGGCAACCCCAAGGAGCCCTGTTCTCTATCCATTGCCCAAAGCCCTAAAGAGATGTAAGTAAGCAAAACCAACATTAACAGAGAAGTTCCTGTGTGCCGGGCTCTACTCCAAAGACTTATACTTTATCTTACTTAATCCCAACCATGCTATTATTGCTTCCATTTTACACATGGGGAGACTGAGGCTCAGAGGGCTTCTGTGACTTTCCCCAGTCACATAGTACATAGCAGGTCCAGGATTCAAACCGCCATACCCATGCCTCTAATCACTATGGAGTATAACCCTTTTACCTAATTATAAACCACATGCTTGCTATGCAAACAGGGCTTCAAGACCAATCCCTAATTCCTCCTCAAATTCTCCCTAAACAGCCACCAATGCACTCAGTCTGGCCTTGACTTCTGAACTTTGGATTCTGCAGGGCAGAGATCATAGTCCCCACCTGGGGTCCTGGAGCGCGCCCTTGGCTCTCTGCCTTGGCTCTGCCCCACTGGCCAGTGGCCCTGGGGAGTCAATCCCCTTCTCTGGCCCTGACGACATCACCCTATCCACTGAAGCCACAGCCAGATCAGAGGCTCCCAAGCCTGGGAGTTTCCAGGGTTGGTGCAGATCCCGCCCATCCCTAGGAAGGCCAGGAAGCCAGGGGCGGGATCTCCTCGGTGTTAAATACTTCTGTCCAGCGCTCCACTGGCCTCTTGTCCCAATCTCAGAGCAGGAAGCGTCACCAAGATCAACCATGGTAAGGGCCTGCCCTGGGGCACAGCAGCCTCCCCCGTGATGATCTACAGTGAGACTTCTAGAAGCGCCTTGTGTCTGAGCTTCCAAGTCTCACTGTCCTTTTCTTTTTCCTTAGACAACTTACAGTGACAAAGGGAAGAAGGTAAGCAGGAGGGAAAGTGTGGGGTCCGGGCCCTGGGAAACTGGGATGTCAGCAAAGAGCAGAAAAGGAACCTCAGTGGGTATGTGATAGCCCAAGATGCTTGCCCTAATCTCTCGCCTTCCCATCCCCCCAAGACTGAGTTGGACCCAACCTGGCTCTCCGAAGAAAAAATTACCTCTTCTTAAATTCCCGCTAATCTCTCAATCCTGTCTAGGAGTTCTTTCTAAATTGTTTTTTTTAACGTGTAATCTCTACCCACAATGTGGGACTCAAACTCACAACCCCAAGATCAAGAGTCGCATGCTCTACTGACTGAGCCAGCCAGGTGGCCCTGGAAGTTCTTTCAAAGGTCTAACTTAAATCCGTGTTGCTGTAGCACACGGCAGCAACCCCTCTGTGAAATCTGGGCAGGCTTCCCGGAGGAGGCTTTCCGGTCTCCAACACCCAGGAGCTCGGTTTCTCCATGAGAACCCTTTTTAGGGGCTTGGCAAAGCCGCAGGGGGTTTGGCTTCTCAGTTTTGGAATTAAGGCTGGGCCAAGGAAAGTGGTTAGGGGACACCTCTCCATCCACACTTTTCTAGACCCACTTCCAGAGACTGAGCCTCTCCCCCTTTTCCCCTCCTGCAGCCTGAGAGAGGCCGATTCCTCCATTTCCACTCGGTGACCTTCTGGGTTGGCAATGCCAAGCAGGTAAAAGCTGGGGCCAGGTATTAGAGTGGGCAGAGGACGGGCCAGAGGGCCTGCTGGACAAGGGCGGGTCCCCAGCTGGGCCTGTGATTGGTCCCTGTGTGGGGAGGGTCAGGGCCAGTGTTGGGACCATCCCAGATATACAGACACTCTTTAGATCCTAATTACACAATCAGGGCCTTGGACCCCACCAGGAAACTTATCTGAGGCTGGAAAGGGCCAGGGAGCCGCCTTTCATCCCAGGATGCATTCTGCCCCTGGGCCAACAGGGCAAGCAGGCTGATGGGGACTGGAGGTTTTGCGAGGCGGGGGTCCCCCAGCCTGGCCCTCAGGAACCCCTTTGCAACTCTGTGATTCAGGCTGCGTCATTCTACTGCAACAAGATGGGCTTTGAACCACTAGCCTACAAGGGCCTGGAGACGGGTTCCCGGGAGGTAGTCAGCCATGTGATCAAGCAAGGCAAGGTGAGTCCCCACCCCAGGACCCCACTCATCCAGGAGGCAAGCCTCTCTGCCCCTGCTGGTCTCTGAGCCTCCTAAGGGCTCTGGTGCCTCTGCGTGAAGTAGACCAGGAGGCCCTTTCCCCAGGCCCACCTGGTTCTCTCCCAGGATGTCTGGCGAGGCTAAAGGAACAGGAGCTGAGAGCTCCCACCGGCCCCTCCTTTGTCACCTTTGTACAAGAGACCACAGGGACCTTAGTTTTGTCTCCTTCTCGGCCTGGCCCAATGTTGGCCACACAGATGTTTAGGAGAAGTTGACAGAGGCCTCAAACATCAGAGCTGAAAGTCTGACTAGTGCCCCGATCCCTGGGAGCCCTGGCGCTTTCTCCCATGGGGGGGCCAAGCAACAGCTCATATCAGAGGGGAAGCTGAGGCAGAGAAGGGGCTGGAACCCAGGGTCAAGGAGTTCTTCCTGGCTGGGAGGGGTGATCTGATCCAAATGCCCCACAGGGGTGTCTCACACGGGGGGTGGGGAGGAGGGCATGGGGGTGCCTGACCCACCGGCTACACGTCCTCCCTCCTCTGTGCCTTAGATCGTGTTCGTCTTCTCCTCCGCCCTCAACCCCTGGAACAAAGGTGAGGAGGCCCAGGGGGTTCAGCATGCCAGGGAGTGAAGACTCGCTATCATGGGGGGGTGGTGCTCAGGGACAGGGAGGGGATCTGGTTCAGCAAGGGTTCCCAGCTTAAAAGAAGACGGAGCCCAGAGGCTGACAGTCGAGGTGAGGGAGCCATGACTCCAGCGCCATGACCTCCCCCACCGGCCACAGAGATGGGCGACCACCTGGTAAAGCACGGCGACGGAGTAAAGGACATCGCGTTTGAGGTGGAAGACTGTGACTACATCGTACAGGTTAGCCCGCACCTGGGCTGCCCTCTGCCTGCCCTCTGCCTGCCACCCCCTCCGTGGGTCCGGGCTGGAGGGCCTGTCATGTTGGAGTGACAAGCCCAGACACTGGTGTAACGCACACCCGAGTTCCGGGGATACCCTGGCCCTCACTAGCTGCAGGTCCTCTCGCTGAGCCTCAGTTTCCACATCTGTAAAATGGGGACAAGCACAGTGCCTACGTCACTGAGTTGGACACAGAGAACACAAGACCATAATTACCACTTCTTGAGCAGGACTCTGAACCAAACACCGTATTCAAGAAGCAGCTCAGAGGTTCAGAGCATAGAAGCCAGAGGCTGACTGCCCAGGTCTGAATCTTATTACTATTAGACTTTGCGCAAGTGACTTAACTTTTCTGTGCCCATAGATCTCATCACCTACAGAATGGAGGCAGGAACAGTACCTTTCCTGTAATGTTGCTAGGAGGGAGAAAGAGTTTGATAAATACCTTCACCAACGCCTGGCATGTGATAGGCACAGCCATGCACATAAATGTGGAAGCCATGCCCGGAAGGCCCTGCAGGGGGTCTGACGCACAGCAGGTGCTCAGTCAGGGCCAGCTCTGATTCTTCCTCTCCCGCCTCCCACCGCCTGGTTTACAGATGGGGAAGCTGAGGCCTGGAGAGCGGGGAGGGCCAGAGTGGGTTAGCAGAGGTGGGACACAGCCCCACCCCACCTGGTTTGTCTCTCATAGCCCCAACTCTGGGCCTGGGCCTCAGTTTTCCTATCTGTCAAATGGGCACAAGACATGGGGGCAACAGCTGATGCTGGCTGTGGTTCCTGCCTGGGGCTGGCAACGCTGGAGGAGCCTGTGGCAGGCCGAGGTGGGGAGCAGCTAACCAGGGCTCCGGGAGGGTCCAGCACTTCCTGACTCCCTGCCCCATCTTCTCTGCAGAAAGCCCGGGAACAAGGTGCCAAAATTGTGCGGGAGCCCTGGATAGAGCAAGATAAGTTTGGGAAGGTGAAACTGGCCGTGTTGCAGACAGTGAGTTTGCTTTGGTGCCCCTACTCCTTGTGCTGTCAGCTCCCCTGAGATGCCAGGATCCCCCACACCCCTCCCCACCCCCGTGCCTTCATGCCATCCCACCCTGGTGCTTTGAAGCAGACATTCCCCCTCAAGTCTGACTGCCCGTAAGGCTTGGCCAGTTTGCAGAGGCTGATGGGATCCTACAACCCTGAGGTCATGACCTGAACTGAAATCAGGAGCCAGTTGCTTCACCAACTGAGCCACCCAGGTGCCCCTTAAAATTTTATGTTTTAAGTAATCTCTACACCCAGTGTGGGTCTTGAACTCACAACCCTGAGATCCAGAGTCTTACACTCTACCAGTGGAGCCAGCCAGGTGCCCCAGAAGCCTGTGATGTCATCTGAGCCAACGCCCTCATCACTCTCACTTAGTCAGTACCTTTGTATGGAGCACCTCCAGCGAGCTGGGCAGTCCTAGGTGCTGAGGACACCGTGAGGAGGAAAACAGTGACCCTGCCCGCACAGGGATTCTGGTCCCGTGGGGCAGGCGGACTGCCAAAGAAAAGTCCCAAACAAATGACAGATTGCAATTCATTTCAGAGGGAAAGTGACTTACCCAAGATCACATAGAGAGTTAGAGTCAGACCCGGCTTGGAATGGTGTGGGCACCACGAAATGGGGCCCAGTCTCAGTAGGGATGGGGTCTCAGGCCAAGCCAGGCTGTTTTTCACCCATAGTATGGGGACACCACGCACACCCTGGTGGAAAAGATGAACTATACTGGCCGGTTCTTGCCTGGATTCGAGGCCCCAGCATCTGTGGACCCTCTACTTTCCAAGCTGTGAGTGCCCCTCGGGCTGGGGCGGTGGGAGCAGAAAGTCCTGAGGCAGGGGTGAGGGGTAGGGGCAGAAAGCAATGCCTTATACTCCATGCAGACTGGGCATCTCTGAGCTGCCCTGGGAGGCTGCTGGGGAACACCTGAGGGTCCCCAAGGGTAGCCTGAAGAGGTAGCACAGAGGCTAAGCACCCAGGCTCTGGAACCAACTGCTTGGGCTCGAAACCTCACTCTGCCATTTTTTTTAAAAGATTTTATTTATTTATTTGAGAGAGAGAGTGCGCACAAGCAGGGGGGAGGAGGAGAGGGAGAAGCAGACTCCCTGAGGAGCAGGGAGCCCGATGTGCAGGTGACCCCAGGACCCTGAGATCACGGCCTGAGCTGAAGGCAGCCGCTTAACCAACTGAGCCACCCAGGTGCCCTAGGGCTCAGTCATTTCCTAGCTCTTTAATCTTTGTAGTTACTTTATTCCTCTCTACCTCAGTTCCCCATCTGTACAATGGGGCTAGTAATAGCGCGCCAGTCATGACACCTGCAGGGTGCCCCAGTAGGCGCTATGTCACAGTGAGCTGTCACTGTGGGGAAGGGGAGGTGTAGGAACTAACCCTGTCCTCACCTCCTAACAGCTTCCTCCCCACCCCCATCCCTCCCCCCAGGCCTACCTGCAGTCTCGAGATTATCGACCACATTGTGGGAAACCAGCCTGACCAGGAGATGGTGTCTGCCTCCGAGTGGTGAGTCCCTGGCCCAACCCCTCGCTGCAAAGGAGACAGGCCCACTCCCCAGTTCTCTTCTCAGGACACGTGAGTGGGAAATGGAGCGCAAGGGAGAGACAGCTTAGCCTGATGTCCCTGAGCCGCCTGTTCCCTGAGAACCAGAGGCTTGAAGGCTCAAAGGGAGCCATAAGTCCTCCCTCGGAGGTCTCTTGGGGAAGCTTGGCACACAGGGCATCACAGTCCATGGAGATCTGGAGGAAGTCGGTCGCTACCCCAACAGCGTCCTCATGCAAAATAGAAGCAGGTTCCCTTCTCAAAGCACTTCTCTCGGTCAGACCCGTGCCAGACCACACAGGTCTTGTCATGGGACACTTCACGTCCCCCGGAAGGAACACCCCCTGATGTACCATGTATGTGAGGTGAACAGTGGCTCTTTTCTGGAGCCTGCTCAGGAGACAAATTCTGGAAGGCAGAAGTCGGGGCAAGGACCCAGTCCCTGGTGGGCACACAGAGCCCATGTGTCCTTACGGCCACCCCACAGGTACCTGAAGAATCTGCAGTTTCACCGGTTCTGGTCCGTGGATGACACGCAGGTGCACACAGAATACAGCTCTCTGCGCTCCATCGTGGTGGCCAATTACGAGGAGTCCATCAAGATGCCCATTAATGAGCCGGCCCCGGGAAGGAAGAAGTCCCAGATCCAGGTGGGGCCTTTCCTAGACCCTGGGGCCCTGGCTGCGGAAGAAGAAAGCGGGGAAGAGCTTGGGTGACAGGAGCCAATGACTGTGTTTGCCTTGTTTCCCGCCCACAGGAATATGTGGACTACAATGGGGGCGCTGGGGTCCAGCACATCGCTCTCAAGACCCAAGACATCATCACAGCAGTGAGAAGCTCATTCCTGGTCCTAATTCACCTTTCATCTAGCTCCAGAGCCAATCTCTGCAAAATAGAGGGGAGAGTGGGGGATGGGTAGTGGCAATCCTAGGCCCCCTTTGCCAGCCCATATGGCCGAACGGGCTCTCTTATTAGTTCCTGCTACTCAAGGGCAGGCACATTCCCACCCCAGAGTTCCCTTTCTCTGCGGACAGAAACACTGCTGGCTTTACAAGTAGCAGGTGCCAGAGTAAGAGGAAGCCTGGATTCTAGTCTTAGTTCTGCAAGTGACGCGCTGTGTGTCCCTGGGGGATTCAGCGCCCTCTCTGGGCTTCAGTTGACTCACCTTGAAAATGAGGATATTAGGCTACAAGATTGATTAGGTCCTCTGAGCCAAGTTAAATGTGCTGAGTCTGTGGAACCAGCCTATTCCTAAGGCAGCCGTATATCAGAGTGGACACGAGCCTGACTGTCCCATTCCATCCTGGCCTAATGGAGAAGTCACTGCATGACCTTGGCAACTTCATCCATTCACTCACCCAGGCTGGGCACGGGGCACCCACCACGTGCCGAGCACCCTTTTAGGAACTTGGGATGCATGAGCCGACAAGACCATAGTCTCTGCTCTAATGACGGCAGAAAACCCAACAGGGAAAATATATGTGTTACATGGTGTGAGTGCTCTGGGGGAAACCAAGCAGGGCGATGGGAGAGGGAGGGTGAAGGACACTGCACATTTAAAGAGGACAGTCATGAAAGGCCACACTGAGGAGACATCTGGGAACCCAGAGCTGGAAGGAGGGTAGCATGTGGACATCTGGGGAAAGTGCTCGAAGCAGAAGTGACAGGCCAGGCAGAGGAAGGCTGAAGGAGATCAAAATGTGGCTGGAACAGAATAAGCAAGGATGAGGGGGTAGGAGATGAGGTCAGAAGGTGGGAGTGAGGACAGATGGTGAGGGCTTTGAATGTAACTCTGAGACAAGACACCGTGGGGTAAGCAGAGGAGGGACGTGCTTTGACTTGTGTTTTTAAATAAAATCCCTCTATTATGTTGAGAACAGATATTTAATCTCTCAATGCCTCAGTTTTGCCAGCTATGAAATGGGGATAATAATCATCCAGGTGCCTCAAAAAATGACGGCATGGACATAATGAGACAATACACGGAAAGTGCTCGAGACAGGCACATAAGGAGAATTCCATAAACGTTAGTGATTGCTGTTCTTCTCCCCGGGCCCACATGGCTCCAGTGTGGAAAGGCATGAGGTCACTGCATCTTGGCAGGCAAGGGGAACTAGGATAGGGACTCTGCCTGCTCCTGGCTGGGGGTGTCATGCATGGAGAGAGGGGACTGACCCTGACGCTTCCTTGAGACAGATTCGCCACTTGAGAGCGAGAGGCATGGAGTTCTTGTGTGTTCCATCATCATACTACAAACAACTGAGGGAGAAGCTCAAGTCCGCCAAGATCCAAGTGAAGGAGAGCATTGATGTCCTGGAGGTGAGGCTAGTGTAGGACCCTTGAGTTCCACCTTACCTCACAAATACTGTCTAAGCCTCTACCCTGCATTAGGCACTGGGACACAGAAGGAAAACCAGACCAGGTCCCCGTGATCATGGGACTTCAAGGCTGGTGGGGAGAAGACAGGCAAATAAATAACAACACAAACACCATCGGAGAGAGAGTTGGTTCTGCGCAGAAAATTAAAACAGGTTACGACAGAGAGTGACCTAGGGTTACTTTACCAGAGGTGATCTGGGAGGGCCTCTCTGAGGAGGTGACTTTTCAGTGAACTCTAAACAATAAGGGGGAGATGACTGTGTGAAGGGCTGGGGTGGGGACAGTGCTGGTGGAGGGAGAAGCAAGCACAGGTGAGTCAGGAGCAAGTTGCAAGTGTCCGAGGAGCAGAACGAAGGCAAGAAGGGATGAAAGGAAGTGTCTGGGGACTAGCCTAGGTCACTGAGGTAGGCAGGGGCTGATTCCTCTTACAGGCTCTTTAGAAGTTGGGATTTTGTTCTTCTGTGCCCAGACACCACTGGAAGATTTTGTTTTGGTTTGTTTTGGTCACATAACATACAAGGCACTCTTTTAAATTTGGGGCACCGGGTGGCTCAGTCAGTTGAACGTCTGCCTTTGGCTCTGGTCATGATCCTGGGGTCCCAAGGTGGGATCAAACCCCATGCCAGGCTCCCAGCTCAGCTGCTCAGTGGGGCTCCCTGCTCAGCAGAGAGTCTGCTTCCCACTCTCCCTCTGCCCCTCCCCCCACGCCTTCTCATTCTCACTCTCCCTCTCAAATAATGGAATCTTTTAAAAAAGTTTAAAAAAGCGCACAATTCAGTGGTTTTTAGCTACTCACTATGTTGTGCAGCTATCATCAAAATCAATTTTAGAACATTTCCATCACCCCAAAAAGAAACTTCACACCTCTCATCACCTCCCAGTCCCTCCATGCCCCCCCACCCCCGCCTGGCTTCCCACAGCCCTAGGCAAACATTCATCTGTCTTCTGTCTCTAAAGATTTGCCTATTCTGAACGTGTCATATAAATGGACTCATGCACTACGGGATCTTTTGTGTCTGGCATCTCTCACTGAGCATGTTTGCAAGGCTCAGGTGTCCGTTGCAGCAGGTGTCCATGCTTCCTTCCTCTTTGTGGCTGAATTACCATTGTCCATTGTGTGGGTCTATCCCATTTTTCTTACCTACTCATCAGTTGATGAACTTTGGGTTGTTTCCATTTTTTGGCTATTATGGAGGGTTGATTTCCACTGGAGGATTTTAAACAGGGGAACGACATGATCTCATTTTTTTTAAAAGATCCCTTGGGGTGACTACGGAGAGGCTGGATTGTAAGGAGGCAAGACGGAGGCAGGGGGACCTGTGCAGAGGCCACGGGGGTGATCCAGGACAGCCATGGGGGCTTACACATGGACTGTGGCGGGCAGATGGTAACAGAAAATTTAGGGATCTATTTGGAGGTGTCTGGAACTGCGGGAGAATGGGGTCTTTTCTTGGCTCTCGGGTGCTGGAGTTTTCATGGACTTTCTATAAAGACTCCACCTTGCCCGGTTGGGGTGTGGGCCAGCCGCCCCTCTAACTCAGCCTCCTGCCTCCTACCTAGGAGCTGAAAATCCTGGTAGACTACGACGAGAAAGGCTACCTCCTGCAGATCTTCACCAAGCCCATGCAGGATCGGCCCACGCTCTTCCTGGAAGTCATCCAGCGCCACAATCACCAGGTACCAGCTACCCCCGACAAGCCCCCGACGCCAGGCAGGCTAGAACGGTTGGCTTTCTCTAGGCCCGCAGCTCACCTTCTTCTCTCTCCCGCTCCAGGGTTTTGGAGCCGGCAACTTCAACTCACTGTTCAAGGCTTTCGAGGAGGAGCAGGACCTACGGGGCAACCTCACGGACCTGGAGACCAACGGGACCCTACGGGGCATGTAGGCCCTACGGGCCCCGCGGACCCACCGAGGCCCCGCCGACCCACCGAGGCCCCGCCCACCTGCGACTTACGGTGGGCCACGCCCTCAGTCCTGGAACACGCCCGCCCTACAGACCCTGAACTTCAAGCCCGCCTTACTGGCCCCTCCCTTTAGATCCCGCCCGCCAACCCAGTACGCCACAGGTGTTGACCACGCCCCCTCGAGTGGGCCGCTCCCTGCTCCCGCCCTCCGGAATAAAGCCGACCCGGGTCCAGTGAGCGGTCTTGGTGTTTGCGCCGGGCTGGGGCAGTGACGCCCTTTGGCCTGCAGGGGGAGCTCAGGGCTGCAGCATTGCGGGAGGCGTCGCGTTCCGGCTTCGGAGCCCTGCCGAGGCCGAAGCCGGGAGGGGTGGACTGCGTTTTGCCAAGTGGGACCGCGCGGGTCAGGGAGAATTCTGGAAACAAGGGGTGCAGAGGGCTAACACGCTAGAGGGGAAGACTATTATTTCACAGAGGGTTATGAAGATAAAGCGGCGATGATGAGATTGTGTAAAGGTACAACTGGGAGGGGTGCAAATTTCGGTTGAGAGAGAGCCCCTCTGGAGAGACGACATTTGGGAACCAGCCACGGAAAAACCTGGGGAAGGAGCATACCCGGGAAGGGTAGTAGGCCTTGAGGTGAAAACCGTGCTTGACAGCATCCCGTCTGATGACTTGATGATCTTTAAAGACGAGCTCTCCCCAGGTTTGCTGCCCTGAGCCCAAACTTCTGGACATCAGAGAGAGGAAGGTGTTAGCCAGGGGACTTTGGGGCACATCTCTGCCCAGCAACCTAAGGACATAGCTCCTGGTCTGAGAAGTAGAGCAGGTGGGGGTGGGGAGCTCTGAGCCCCTCAGCTTCTGCCTTCGGGTTTTAAAAACCAGAAGAGGAATTGGAGGCAAATTGGGTCTCTTCTGCTTTGGCAGGCGGATCATCTGAGCATAAGGAAAACTTCTAAGTTGGTAAAATAGGGGGATTCCCCCCCACCCCAGATTGTAGAAATCAGGGCTTCTAGGATCATGAACTTCAGAAATAAAAAGAACAGCAGTGAGAAGTCAGAAGAACAATGGCAACCCTGGTTAAAAATATTCTCCCTCCATTTTCCCATGGCTTATGCAAAGCTGAGAAATTCTGTATCTCAGGAGGTTGCAAACTGGTGGCTCACGGGCCAAATCTGGCTCACAGATGTATTTTATTTAGTCTGTATAGTTTTAAACAAATGTGAGTCATCATTTCAGAAAGTTGGATATTTCACATACAAATTCTAGGATTCTGGTTCTTCTTGGAATAACCAGGCAGTTCTGGGCTTGTCTTCCTATGCAGTAACAATCACCTGGTGCCAAGTGGCGGGTGCCTCCTTAGACGGGACATGGGCAGAGCGGACCCTCATTAGCTAAGCACAGATTAGGGAGCAGGATTGCCTGGGTTCATACCCCAGGTCAGCTGCTTGCTAGCTGTGTGAACTTGGGCAAGCTACTCGGCTTCTCAGTGCCTCCATTTTCCTTGTCTGTTAAATGAGGATGGTAACAACACCCACCTCCAAGCACTGCTGTACCTTTAATAGCAGATGTTTAAAACAGTGGCTCTTGGCATGATGTCACTGGTATGTGTTTGCTTTTGTTATTTTGGGAGAGGGCTCTGGGTGAGGGGTCTTGCCTGAGTCTGCCTGGCACTTCCTCCTCCCCATCCCACCCTGGTCTACACGCAGATGGCTCAAATTGGGGTTCCCTTTTTGGCCCCCACAGCAGGACCAGAGAAGAAAGGACTTGTCCTATGGGACTGAGAGGGCAGAGGGAGCAGTGGATAGATTTGAATAAGGGAGAAGGAGAACCGTCTGACTGGTAGTGGAGGGAAAAGGAGAAGTTCGGGGTTTCTGGAGTTTGGGTTTAGGTAACCAGCCACAGCCGTGGTGGGTGGAGGGGACGGATAGCAGTGCCATTGACCAAGGTGGAAATTAGGGCAGGAGGAGCAGGTTCAAGAGGGAAGATGAAGGAAACTCAGATTTGGATGTGTTTCCTTTCTTTGCCTTTGGCTAGTTGCCCTGGGCTGTCCTCACTGCCCTGCCAGTACCCCCACAGCATCTGCCTCCCCCTCCCCCCAACTTGGGACCTCTCAGACCTCATTTCCTTTACTCCCGGCTCCCTCATTTAGCTGCAGCCACACAGACCTCCTCTGTGCTGGTCCTCAAATACACCAGGCGTCTTTAGCCTCAGGACCTTTGCACTCACGATTCCTTCTGCCTTCCCTACCCTCCTTCGTGGTGTCCACACCACTGCCTCCCTGATCTTTGAGTTTTGTTCACATGTGTGCTGAGCAGACTTCCCTGACCACTGTCTTTAAAATCTCACCCCCTCTCAACTGATAAGGCCTTTCTTGTAGCTGTTTTTCCTCAATATAGCATGTGTTCTTCATGTTTGCCTGGCTCACAAGTACACAATCACATAAAGCCGGGGGGGTGTGTTTTCTCCAACCCTGTGTCCACAGTGCCTAGAGAACCGTCTGACACCTCACAGGTGTGCAGTCACTTTGTCTGAATGGACACAACGGCCAGCAACTGCTCTTTCCTGGTCAGTCCCCACCCTCAGCTTTTTCTGTCCCCACAAATCCACCTTCAGTGGTGTTCCCCTGTCTGGAGGTACGGTTCTGGAAAGCAGCCCACCGACAAGGGCATCTCCCCTGCCTTCACAAGTGAGGCTGCAAAGAACATCCGTGTATATACTGTTGCCTGCTTGTGACTGTCAGGCTCAACTCCAGGCAGCAGAACACCTGTGCTGAAGGTTTTTGTGCATTTTTAAACCAATTGTTAATATCTACTTTTTCCTCTTGGAGGTTGTGGCCATTTGAGCTTACACTAATGATGTCCAAGTGCCCCCTGCCCTGTACTAGCCAACGTTGGCTATTTTGTGGTAGAATTCACATGTCCCTAGTGAGAAGGGAGGTCAGGCTTTTTTTTTTTTTTTTTTTTTCAGCCAAGTTGCTTATGGCTGGGGTCCTTGGCATCTGTCCTTCTCAGGGGTAGGTAGACAACATCTAACAAAGTCTCCAGGGATCCCATGGCTACCCCGTCACAGGATCAGGAAGAGTTGAGACCTGCGGGGCACAGAGGCTCTGAGCCTCAAACACCACAAACACTAGATTCACTTAATGCTTCTCGGCTTAGGACGATTTTATCAGTCCCTTCCCCCTCAAATGCAAACCAGAGGGCTGTCTCAAAAGGAGTAGTGACCATCTTTGAGATACTCCCTTTCCAATTGGATATTTGAGCTTGTTTCCTAATTACAAACCTTTAGCAGTGTTAGATACCTAAGATTTTAAGAAAAGTTGAAGCAAAACTTAAAAGCAAAAAAACCTTAAAAGGGTCTAACTAGGCCTAGTTCACAGAATCCACCTAACAGGCTCAGAGTTTAAGAACCACCGGTCTGAGCGGACCACACCACACCTAGCTCCTTCTACCCGCTGAGCCTCGCCAGGCCACCCTCCCTGTGAGCAGAGGTGTGCCCCATCAGAAAGAGAGGAGGAAAGGGAGAGAGGAGAGCAAGAGAGACGGCGTATCTGTAAGAAAAGTCAGTATATTTATGGTTTGCTTTATAAAAGTTACTATAATACAATGGTACATAGTATTGAATTCACAAAAATATGAACAAATATTTACAGCAAGACACACCCACAACGGAAACACTTCTCTTCAAAACAAGTTACATACGGATGACAGAGTCTATATGCACAAACATCCCTAAATCTTATGGGTTCTCTTCTTTGCAGGAGGAGAGAGGCAGGAAGGGAGGGACAAGAAAAATTTAAGAAACAAAAGCAGAAACCCCCAACTTTTCAAAAGCAAAGATTTGTTCAATGAGAACAAAGGCATTGAAAGAAAAACGAGCCATGTTTCTGGATATGGCAAACCATTTTGGGGGTGGAGAGGGGGTTCCCAGGGACAGGGAGGGTGCAGCCCCTCGCCAATTGGGCAAGGTGAGGCCAGGGCGAGGCATGAGGCTGGCCCCCAACCCTGGTTTCCTCACATCCCCCTCCGCTTCTTCTCAGGGGAGAGGGGTGAGCACGAAGGCAGCCCCTTGGGGGCTGCACGAGTAACTTAAATCAACCATCTCTACAGACTACACATTTCCTCATGTGAAAAATAAATATTTCCTCAGTTGCACAATTAGGCAGAAAACCGCAAACGGAAGAGAAGGTCGCCGCTGTGCCCAGGTCCCTCCTCTGTGTCTTAATGCCACCGATTTCATCGATCTTGAAACCTTATAACTGGTGAGCACAATCTCAAACAGGGAGGGCATGGGGTAAAGAAATTAAAAAAAAAAAAAAACACAACAAAACCACCAACGACAAAAAAAAGAGAAAAATAACAATTCTTTGTACAGAATTTACATGATAACAAGCTTGACACAAGCTGAAGATACCAGAGGCTCCGGGCCTGCGTCTGCAGGGTTGGGGTGGGGGGGCGGCCCCGCTGGGAGCTCTCCCGTCTGGGTGAAGATGACTCCTGGTCACACCAGTCACTTTCCAGAAATTATTTACATGCCTGCTCTGCTTTCTGGGATGCGAGGGACTTGCCTTGTGTGTGTGTGTGTGTCTATGTGTATGTGTGTGTGTGTGAGTGAGATTTTTGGAAATACAAAGAAATGAGCAAAAAAGTCTTCCACATGTTTCTACAAGAAACAATGTTCCCGAGAAAAAGTCCTTTATGGCAGCCTATGTACAGAAGTTGGTTCTGAACTTCAAAAACCTATTTCTTCCCTCCATTTTGATTTTATACACGCACAGGAAAAAAAAAAAAAAAAAAGAATCCATGGAAATAAACCCTGAAGAGGATGATGGGAAAGGGGTAAAAAAGGTTAAGGGGAAAAAAAACAAACAAAAACCTGTCAGACTTAGATGAGTTTTTAAATCTTCTCCAAGATTTTCCTCTCTCTGGGAGAATAATCTTCTCACTCCAAAAATAAATATGCTCTTGCCTTCTTGGGATAAGGGGGCTGCTGGCTGGGTGAGTTGGGGTGT